TGCCCGTGGCATGAGTGTGAGACTCAAGATGCTCCCGCACGTGGGACAGTTTTGCACTTGCCATGCAGCTTGACAGAGCCTGGGCATCCAAGATGACAAACTATCCTCTTGGCCCACCCTGAGCCTCTCATTCTCATTTGGAGTTCCCCGGTAGCCTAGACAACAGGACCACCTCGGTCCATCCTGAGCCCCTGTGTGCGCAGCTCTGTGTAGCCCTTAAGAAAGGGCCAGAGGTGACCTAGGCCTTGCCACCCCTACGCCTTAGCTAGCTTGGGAAGGCATGACCCCTTTACAGAAATCAATGAGAGAACAATACCGACCCAGCAGGAGCTAAGAGAAGTGAGCAGCTGACCCTCCAGGGGCTGGAGCAGTCGTGGAAGCACCTGGAGCTACTAGGACTGAAGCTGGGCATTGAAGAGGGTCATGGATTATCTTGACCTTCTTGGCCTGGGCCCAGGGCTATGGGCTGAATGGGCAGAGCCGGGAGGCGTAAGTCTTAGGCGCTCTCCAAGGTTCCCCACCTGCGTTCATGGTGGGAAGTGGGCAGTGGTAGCATTTTGCTGTCCGTGGTGCTGAAATTTTCAGTCCTGCACGTGACCTCATCCCTTTGGTAAATATTGCTTCTGGCCCTTCCCATGACCCTGTCAGCACCCTCCCACCCTCACTTCTTGTCATCTTCTTTCCTGACAGCCAATGACGACCACATTCCCACTCATCCCCATGCCCAGCCTGTCTCTGGCACGCTCTCCCTCATAACCACCACCAAAACATGGTCCCTCATGGTCCCCATCTACCATATATTGCCAGATCGACTATCAGATAGAAGTGCCAACCTCGGGAGCGCTTAAAAGTGATGTATGGATGTCTGGGGTTGTCACAATGGCTTGAGGGTACTACTGGCAGTTAGCAGATTGAAAAGGAAGCCAGACAGGAAGGAGATAGCTAGGTCCACACAACAAATACTTGACCCACCTGAGATGCCAGTAGCATCACTGAGAAGCAGTTTACATTAGTTTTTCTGAGTGGGGAAGATGAGGCTGAGAGGGATGGGACTTAGCCAAAGTCACTTAATCAGCCAGAGACAAAATTACAGCTAGAATTTAGGCTTCCATCTTCTCCCAGCCAGGCTCCCGGACCTCTCAGGTGACTGCCCAAATCAGAAACTCTTGTCAAAGTGTCAGCATCTGAAAGGGACAGAGCACATTGTAATGAGGGCTTTCACCAGGCCAGGGCACGCTGCAGGGGATAGAGTCCAGGCTTCCCAGACCACAGAGCTCTGGAAGAGAAGACCTTGCCTGCATCATCCGGACCCTAATGCCCCTGGCAGACTACACTGCACACCATTGGCATCGATCTTCAGCGGAGGCACCTGCATTGCTGTGGTAACAGGCACCCTCCTCACTACATCCATCCCCACAATTCTGGCCTGACCATCTGCCCTCAAACTCTCCGTGCGCATCTTCCTGTGGGTCCCAGAGGGGACTCTTCCTGTCTTACTTTCTCCTGTCCAAGGCTGTGCCTGAGGGCGCAGTGTCCTCATTAGCCAGCTCCTCTGAAGTGCTGGGAACGTCTCTCTTCCAGTCCCATGGTACCCAGTGTCTAGAGCCAGAGCCTCATTCCCAGGCATGGCTGGGCCCCAAGAGGGAAGCTCCCTCCCACCACTACATCCCACATCTCAGACCCTGCTTTCCAAGGTTTCAACAGACCTGAGTCAATTTGATTCAGCCCACGTATACTCAATGGCTCACTCCTGAGGAGGGAACTGTTGACTCCAGTATGGTTTCTTCCTACTTGTCTGTCCCCAGGGACAGTAGCAAAGTTCAGTAGCAAAGAAAAGAAAGATCAATTCTAAAGAGATGAGACTCATAGTGAATTACGGCAAATGCTCTAAAAGAGATTTTTCTTTTTCAAACTATGTTGTACGATAGTGGATTGTGAAGTAAATTTAGTGGGTTGTGACTAGTATTTGTATATAGAATAAATATAATTCATTAGAAAGTAATAGAAAAATATTATAGCTGTGGTCAAGATAAATTTCACTTTGTGAAACTGGATTCAGTCATGTGAGCAGTGTGTGTGTGTGTGTGTGTGTGTGTGTGTGTGTGTACTGGACTGTGACATGAAATGGATATGTGGCTGTAGTTCAAGGGCAATAGAGTGTGAAGACCTATGTTTCAAGAGATGGGAAGACACAGAGGAGGTGTTTACAGGGGAAAAGAAGAGATTACGTAATACTTTGGGTGTTGGGGAGGCCTCCAGGAGGAGGTGGCATTAGAGCTGGGGGTTAAAAGATAAGTAGGAGTTTGTAGGAATATGTGCATGCGTAAAGGGTGAGAGTGCGGAGGGTGTCTCAAGGGGTGGCTTGGTACGGAGCTCGGTGTGTGCCAGGCCTGCTGGTGTAAATGTCAGCTGCCATGTGGAGTGGTAGAGATGGGTCAGAAAAGTTCGCCTGGGGCCCAGTGTCAAGGGCCTTGAATAGCACACCAAGAAAGTTGGACTTTATTCCCAAGGGCAGTAAAAAGCTGCTGATGACTTTTATTCAGAAATCAGCATGATCACTCTGGCAGTGGGGGTAAAGGATAGAGAGTCGAGGCGGGCAAGAGATGAAGCCAGGAGGCAAGATAGGAGGGTGTTGTGCCAGTGCATGGTGACTAGAGAGTGGGTGAAAGGGTGGGCAGGAGAGGGATGGACTCCGGAAAAAGAAAGAGGAGACAGAATCCACGGAGCTTGGTACCCCAGGGGCATTGATGTGAGGGACCAGAAAGGTCTCAGATCCGCAGCATCTCTATCCTGACCCCCTCCTTTCCGCAAGCCCACGCCATGGTCAGTACCACCACAAGATATCATACTTGGGAGATGAGTATTCTGAGGTCTTGTCCTCATGGAGCCCCACACTGACCTGAGACACCAGACTCACCCACCTGAACAACTGAGGCCAGGTCATGAGCAAGGGCTGGAATGTGGGGCTCAGGCTGTCAGGACTGAGAGGGCTGGGGGCGTTGGGAGGCTCAGGAGAAAGAGACTCGTGGGATGCAAGCAATCAAAGAGGGCTTCCTGGAGGAAGGAGCTTAGCACTGACTTCAGAAAAGCTAGATAACATCTAGGAACACATTCGCAGAAGATAAATTTTTCTGCCCTTTGAACCATAGGCAGGATCAGGGTCCGTCTCACTTCACACAGGCCGAAGGACTCTAAATCCCCATTAGGGAGGGACTGTTCATTTTACAAAATCACCCACCCTCCCAAAATGCCTTTACATTGGTCCCGTTGGTTTCAGCCCATACTCTGTCCTTTAGTTCAGTAACATCACTGACCTTATGCATCAAATTCTCTTAACATACAACCTTTCTTTCTTTCTCTCAACATACAACCTGTAGTAAAACAATCCTGTAGAGGGAGAAAACCCAAGTGGGGAATTGGGTGCCATGGTCAGGGGCTGGGAGCTAGTGTCCTCATATTGGGGTCAGAGTCGGTGTCAGACCAGCATTGGCCTGACTGACTCACACTTGGGCCAGGGACCTGCCAGAGGCAGGCCTCGCTGACAGGTGACAGGCCCAGGAGGCAGGAATAGGCCAGTAAAAATCCCAAATTTGAAAAAAATCTATAAGCTCAGAGCACCAAATTAAAAAACAATTAGGCTAATAGAATCTCCCCCATTGTTTCTGCTCTTCAGCAAGTGCTCCTTCATAACTCCACTGCTTTTAACTCACTGTTAGCTCAGCGGAAGTGGATTTTTAAAGTAACTTAATTATTTCAGAACTCATTGCTTCCAAAAACAATCTAAGGTTTCCCCTTCAGCTCTGTGACTCTGTGCTCTGTGAGCTATTTTTTTAAAATTAGCTTTATATTGTGATTCTAACGTAAGCCCAAAAGAAAAATCCACAAAGAACTGCCCATTAGCCAGAGTGCAGAACGCTGGTACAAATTATCCCCAAACAATAGATTGTTTAGAATTTGTAAGTAAGCGGGGGAGGTAGGGTACATAAGACAGCGAAATGCAGAGCAGAGGCTGGGAGAGGGCTTTGGAGTTACCAGGTGTGAGGCATTCCTCTGGCTGGAAGTGACGGTGGGCTACCTGGAGAGCGTGGCTTAGGAGCTAGATCTTGACAGTCAAACTAGGATTTAAAGAAAATATGCGCATTCCTTGAACCTCACACATCTCCCTTCAATAAAACCCTCACTTCAGTACATCAGACACTGATGCTCTGAAATGTCTTTTCCCACATCACATTCCAACTTTAACACAGAGCCAGGTTCTCAAACATTTAGAGATCACACGGTGGTCTCCTAGGCAGCTGCAGCTCAAGGTCAGCAGCACAGTCCTGTTTCCCCATATTACTGTCATTCCTGTACCGCTACTCAGTAGCCTAGGGGTTAGGAACATAAACCCTGAAGCCAGACCTTCTGGGTTTGAATCTTCTCATCTTTGTATCCTTGGCAAGCTGCTTGATCTCCTGTGCCTCAGTTTTCTCATCTGTAAAATGGGTTAATCTCAGCACCTACTCCATGGGTTTGCCTGAGGATTGAGTGGACGAGTCTAAACAAAGCAGTTAGAAGAGGACCTGGTACAGGGCAAACACCTGCTGTGTAAATAGTGACTATGGTGAAAGTGGAAGCGCTGATACTGGTGGGAAAAGTATGGATCTCATGAGCATAAAATGATTGCGATTAGGATGGAAACTCTTCGGCATGCTGAAAGCAGTGAATCTTCAGCCACATCCCAGGGCTCACAGTGGGGTTCAGTTTCAAACAAAATTAAAGGGAGTGTACAAGATGCTAGTCAAAAATTGTGTCAGAAATGGGTTTTATCATGCCTTTTAGCTACCATGAGTGGTAAGGCTTTTGTGCACTTTTCACATGAATGACTTTCACGTGAACATTCAGACGTGTTTCCGGGCCTAGAGAGGCTGAGACATAGGGACCTTATCCTGTGGGCACCAGGGAGCCAGGGAGTGTTCTTGAGGAGGGGAGTGACCCGCCTCTTGGTGCATCTTTTGTAGGGAATGCCTACCGAGAGTGCTTGGAGAATGGGACCTGGGCCTCACGGATCAACTACTCACAGTGTGAGCCCATTTTGGATGATAAGGTGAGTGGCTCCCACCTGTCTCACCCCTGGTCCTGTACAGGTAGTAGGACTCAGATTGAGCACAGAGGATGCCAAGGGTGGCAGACCCAGTCCTGTGTTACCCACCCACCCCTTTCTTGCACCTCTTGCCACCACTCTATGTCCTGCCCTGTGCTTAGTGACATTGTGGTGGGGTAGAGAAGGGACATGGAAGCTCACCTTCAGACGAGCTCAGCTGGTGGAGGACACCAGCAAGATGGCACGAGAAGGGGATGACCCTGTAACCAGTGCCCCACCATCTAACAGGCAGTGTGACTTCCCTCCTCCTCTGGGCCTCAGTTTCCCCATCCGGCGTTCTGATTCTATGACTCCACATGGAAACAAGTGTAGCCCCCAGAAGGGCAGTCCCCACGGGAAGCTGGGTCCCACTCCGACCTCACCAGCCCCGCTTGCTCTGGTGCTGGATTCCGTGTTATCTGCGGTGCCAGCCTCCTTCCTCTTGAAGCTTCGCCTCGTTCCTGACCCCAAATGATACATTCCCACCCCATCCCTCTCCTCTTTTGCCCATTACGGCCCCCAGTGGGGCTGAAACTTTTCCCCAAAAGAAGTCCAAGTTCAGAGGAAAAACATTTGTCTGCCCTGAGAAAGTGATTCTACAAAATGCGAGCCAAAGGGGGTCTGCAGTGAGGGCCGCAAGAGTGACAAGTGGGATGGGCCATAAAGGAGAGAAAGAGGTCCCCTGCTGCCCTCTGCCGTCACCTCTTCATCTCACAGCCCCTCTGAGCAGTGGCAAACCAAAGCGGGTGTGGGGTGGCGGGATAGTCGACCCTGGCAGGAAGGAGTATTTTATCATTGCCTCTGTTAAGAATTGCCAGCATGTGGTGATACTAAAAAGCAGACTGATTTTATTTGGTCTTAATATCTCTACAGCTCTTAAAATCTCTACAGATAACGTACCCCCTCACTGCTGCACCCAGGGCAGACTGATCCCAAGGCACCCCCAGACCTGCCATAGGTCGCTGCTTCTGAGACAGGAGGACAGGTTGGCTCCATTGTACAGATATCAAAACTGAGTCCCAGAGATATAAATCAATACACCCTCAGTTGCTCAGCCCATTAGTGTGTGAGCTGAGATGAAACACAGGTGTAGCAACTCCCATTCCAGAATTAAAAAGAAAATAGAATCTACATACCCATATCTCTGGCATAACTCAGAATACATTGTGCTCAGATCTGCCCTCCAATTGCACAGGGGACACCTGACCACAGCCATTTATACCAAGAGCCACTCAGGGCCGACCGGAGAGAGCTCTGGGTGCCAGGTGTGGTGGTGACACTTGGAGCCTCTTCTGCCCCCAGGGTCAGGACGCACAGGGTGCCCATTGCTAGAGTGCCTGGCCCCACCCTCCACATGCTCCAAGCCTCTGTCTGCCCGTGTGTGTGTCTGTCTGTCCAGCAGAGGAAGTATGACCTGCACTACCACGTCGCGCTCATTATCAACTACCTGGGCCACTGCGTGTCTGTGGCGGCCCTCGTGGCTGCCTTCCTGCTTTTCCTGGCCCTGCGGTGAGTCCACCCCGCCCCTGCTTTTTCTCTGCCCTCCTCCCACGGCACCCCCTTCACCTCTCCCATTCTCAGCTCCTCTCCAGGGTCCCTGGAGCCAACGGACAAAAGGGGCTTGGGGAGGTGCCTGGGCACTGACCGCCAGCGGGCATGCAGGAGGCAAAAAGGGAGCCAGCCCTGGAAGACCCAACCGTGGTTACCGTGAATGGGAATTTGGTTCCTGGTGCAGCCCTGCCTTCACCCCGGGCTGAGTCTCTCCCTTGCCTGAGGAGGGGGTGGCAGGGGGCGCAGGCCCAGCTGACCCATGACGCCAGCTGCCCCCTGCCCCCTGCCCCAACTGAGCTCTGAGCCCAGGTGCAGCCTGTCCCGGCTGACCCCTGACCTGGTCCTCCCGCAGGAGCATCCGCTGTTTGCGGAACGTGATTCACTGGAACCTCATCACCACATTTATCCTGCGAAATGTCACATGGTTCCTGCTGCAGCTCATCGACCATGAAGTGCATGAGAGCAATGAGGTCTCTGGGTAGAGGTTTGGGGCCGGACCTGGGGGGCTCTGGGCTCTGGGGGCCCCCATCTCTCTTGCCCAGTCCTCGCGTGCAGACCCGAACCTGAGCTCACCTGCACCCAATCATTGTCCCTCCAGAGCCAGGGGTGGGGGAATAGGGCTCCAGGCCGGGGTCTGGGGAGCAGCACATACCTGACAGCAGACTTTGGGTTATCCTGTTGCACTCCCCATCTTGTGACTTCATCACCTCCCAAAGATTCCTTAGGGAAAAGGAGGCTGAAATTAACCTCTGTTGAGCTTTAGGTCAATTCATTCCAATGAGAGACCTGTAGGGATTTCGCCCCCATTATACAGACATGGAAACTGAGGCTCAGGGAGGTTAGATGACACTGTAATGATGCCTCTACATCTGGGCCACCAGGATCTTGAGCAGGCCAGCACGTTAGCTGCCCACGGTGGATTTGTGTCAACCACTGTTGTACTGTGTCCAAGTCATAAAACCAGAGCCCAGAGTGGAGCCATGCACGGAGCTCTTTGGCCCACCATTAGAGACTGCTCAATACATCGTCTTTGGATGGCTAGACCTGAGCACACACCCAGCCTGGTTTGACGCTTCACTTGGCCCCATGTTGAGCCCTGCCTCAGCACCAACGGAATTCAGTCAGTTTGGGGTGCCCTGCAGCCCAGTGTTGGCTTGTACTGACAAGGCATCGTTAACTTGGAGGAAAAACAAGATTGGGAGGAGGGGATCTTTCGAATTCCACCTCAGCAGGACTTTCTCAGAACAGAGGAGACAGATGGCCGCATGGGGCCCGAGATCAGGGCTGGGACCATGGAGGAAAGTCACGGAGGCTGTGATCAGCTCAGCTGATTGATTGTCTGACAGCCCGGCTGTTAGAGCCGGACAGAGAGGTGCTGAGCTGTCCAAGGGGACAGTCAGCTCCCCATCACAGGGCTCCTCTAACCACCAATCCCCACATCCTCAGCTCTGAGGGTGCCCTGGTGGCGAACCCCTGGGGAAGATGGCCAGGTAGGGTCAGCTGAGGCCAGACCTGGCCGTGGCCCAGGGTGGCTCTGGGCAGGCTCGTCCCCTGAGGGAGGGGTAGTAACCCTGCTCAGAGGGACAGGGACAAATTCCCCTCGGCTGAGAAGGCAAATGGCACCAACATTCATTTCTTGGCGCCTGCCTTTGCCACCCCCATCTTCTTGAACCAACCTGCAAGATGGGATTATTCTTTTCTCTGCAGCACGATGAGGTTCAGAGAGGTATGGCCAGTTGCCCGAGGTCCCGGTGTAAGGAAGTCTCCCTCCAGAGACGGCAGGGATCACACTAAGCCCAGAATCTCCTAAACCCAGAGATTTGGGAGGATCACGTCCACCGCTGCAGCTCACCTTCACAGAGCCTGTACTAGTTCAATGACAATTTTCTTTTAATTGACTCACTAATTTTTTTCTACATGAAATTTCATAGTCCATCCCGAAATGGAAACCAGCCTGACTCGCTGTGAAGTGAAGGTGACCCTCAAAAGAAAGTGACAGTGAAACACGACAGTGCTGTTCAATTCTAGCCTCTCCCTGCAAAAATCTCAGAGTCAGTCAGACTCCCTCTTTCTTTTATGAAAAAGGAGATTAGAAAACACTGGTGAGAAGTCAGACCCCCTGGTACCAGGGGAGCCTGGCACTTTCCGGAAAATGTGGCGGAGAAAGGATGAAGCTTCCCAGAATGAGATGCAAGGGTGTTTAATGCCATGTCCGTGACTCAACTCAAACGACCTCCCCTCCATCAGCGCCCAAGCTGTGCACTTGGGCCTGGGCCCCAGGCAGCCACTGACTGCTGCCTGCCCCGTGCAGGTCTGGTGCCGCTGCATCACCACCAGCTTCAACTACTTTGTGGTGACTAACTTCTTCTGGATGTTCGTGGAGGGCTGCTACCTGCACACGGCCGTCGTCATGACCTACTCCACCGATCGCCTGCGCAAGCGGCTCTTCCTCTTCATTGGATGGTGTGAGGTTCCTGGGGGGACCTGCAGGGTCCAGTGGGGAGAGGGTGCTGCTGACAGGGTCACCTCCCTTCATCTTGGGTCCAAGGACCGGACCACATTCCTGTCTGCCATCCCCAGGACAGTCCGAGGATGCAGCCACTCCCCTCCATGCTGGAGAGGAAGAAGCAATTAGTCCCTCTGAAAGGACAGCCCACAAATAGCCTTCGTCTTCTTGCCTGGAATGGCCAATCCAAAGGCCTTTGTCTCTGGCTTCAAAAGAAAAGCTGGCCAGCTCCACTTCTCTATCAAAAAATCTCAGAAAATCACGCTGTCCCCTCATCTCTCTGACCTGCTTGGAGGGGATGGCTGAGAGTGAGGGAGGGATGGGGGCAGGGTCCCTCAAGGTCATGGATGGCCTGCAGTTAGATGATTGGAAACAAGATCCCCTGGCCCTTTGTGGTTCCCCCCCACACTGTGTTCTACAAGAGGGGCTCCTGACTATCCGTCTGTCCACTGCAGCTGTGTCTGTCCTTCTTTCAGGCATCCCCTGCCCCATCATCATCACCTGGGCCATTGGCAAACTCTACTATGAGAATGAACAGTAAGTAAGGACAGGCCAGCCATGGGGCTCAGAGGGATGTTAGGACAGGTCAGCCACGGGGCAAGAATTGCAGCCACTCCAGGACAGTTCACTTTTCCGTTGTCCTTAAACTGAGAAAATTTCCTTGGCACCCGGAGGTACTCATGCGATAGGTGTCAAGTCAACTTTGTTGAATTGAATTAGGAATCGTTGTTCTTTTAAGCACCCAATGCACGACCCCCTTAGCCTTTGGTAAGGCCTCCTCCTGGAGTTGGATGCGGCAAGTCTGGCTCTAGGCTTTCAGCTCAGAGCACCTCCAGCTGTGGCATTGAGCCCCTTACAGATGCCCGGGCCAGGCCAGTGGAAGCTTGTTTTATTCTGGCATCCCAGTCTCTTCCTGGGGTGCAGTGTTCCATGCTGGGACTCTCTCTGCACCAGAGACTTTGAAATACTCAGCCTCAGCCCAGATGATGGCAATTCTGGCTGCAGGACAGCCAGGGAATGGCGGGGAAGTTGGGTGCCACCAGCTGAGGAAAGAGGGGGCAGAGGAACGTCAGTCTCTGTATACAAATATTCAAGGGGTCTCTGAGGATGGAGGGAGCGGATGGGATCTGGGGGCAGGGGGCAGGAATGGCGTGGGTTCTGAGAGCTCAACATTAGGAAGAGCTCCTAACGATAAAAGCTGCCCAAGAGTGAGGGCTGCCTTGAGAGGTAGTGAGCTTCCCATCAAAGGGGGTGTTCAAGCAAAGAAAAATTAAAAAGCCGTGCTGGGAGGCTGCAGGGGAGAATCCTGCCTGAGGCAATGTGCACTGGATGACCTCTGAAGTTGCAGAAGACACAGAATTTCCTGAACTCTGTGGCGCCCTTTCTGAGGTCCAGTAGGAGTTGCTGGCAGAGCCAGACTGGGTCCTGGGCCAGCCCTTCCTCCAGACCCTGAAGCGTCTTCACCCCCAGCATCCCCAAAGGATAACCAAGCCTCTAACAGCAGCAAGCTTCCTTCCCTGGGTAAATGAGGCCAGGGATGGGGCTAGGAGAAGGCTCCCGCCTCCACGTCTGCTGCTTTGTGCGTCTGAGTGCCTGGCACAAGGAGAGGCGGGTTCCAAGCAATGCGGGAACAGGTGGTACAGGCAGTTGGGCCCTGGCCAGCGAGGGGGAGCCCAGCTCTCCGTTCATGAGCCTCCTGCATCTCCAGCCCTGGGCCCAGCATCCTGGGATGGGGTGAGGGAGCAAGGAGAAGGGGGAGGAGACCCAGGGCCTGCCTCAGTCTCCCTGGGGAGACCAGACTCTCCATGTAGGGCAAAAGGCAGCCCAGGTATGAGCCAGGGTGGTCATTGGGGCTGGGGCTGTCCACCCAGGCTTCGGAGGAAGGAACAGCCATGGAGATTGGATCTCAGAAAGAGTCAAGACAGAGGACCCTGGCCCCGAGGCTGCAGTGGTCCCCAGGCTGTGGTTCCGCAGGCCACTTACAGCCACTCCATCTTTGCAGGTGCTGGTTTGGCAAGGAGCCCGGCGACCTGGTGGACTACATCTACCAGGGCCCCATCATCCTCGTGCTCTTGGTAGGTCCTCAGTGGGAAGTGGGACAGGGCTGGGCACCAGGAGGACAGCAGAGGACCCACCCAGCAGAGATGCTGGGGAGAGACAGGGTCTGGAT